AAAGTATAAAATGAAATGTACATACAACAAAACTGAAAAAAAAAGTTGATTTCTTTATTTAGAGTCTCCATTGATTAAAGAGATTTGTTTTTATTTAAAATGTTGGTGATACAACAATAAATAGCTTAATTCAGAAATTATTTAAGTTTAAAATTGAATCGATATTTTTACTTTCATGATATATTTTATGCACTTGGCTCTAGGCTAGGTGATCCCACACTATGTCTTTACTTTAGGCTTAATATATCAACACTCGCTACACTTATAAGGTTTCACGGAATCCCCTTCACAGCCCTGTTGCATCCTGTCACTAAACTCGTAATGGGCAGACAGTAATCGAAATATTCTACCTGGATAAATGCATTTTGGCTTTTATGACTCCTCCTATTTCGAGATACACGCTGATTTTATATAGGTTAGATGTAGTGTTCAAAATCATATTGTTAGTTCTTCAGTTTCGGAATATCTATTAAATTTTAGTTTTCGTTCGGCTGTGTTGAAATATGAAATACATAAAGCTAAAGAGCAGCTTTCTTACACTCACTCACTCTGCGTTTTACTCAGGTTTAACTGAAGAAAAAGAACCGAAATGTGTACGAGAAAGCGAATCGGGGATGGTGCAAAGGTAAGTGGACGTTCAGTTGTTATATTTTTATGGATAAAAAGGAGCTTGCTTGTTAGGTGTTATATGCTAAATAGCACGACGTCACACGACCAGTTTTATTGTGAAATATGCGGAACAGTTTGAAACGGTGGATATTGTAAACGAAGGAAATTTTGGTGTGCACAAAAAATTACATCGACAGGCTTTCTGTAGACCCTCCATTGTATGTGGACGTCCGCTTGGAAGCTTAGGTCAGTCTTAGACTCCCATGTTGATGGACTTTCTGTAAACCCTCCATTGTATGTGGACATCAGCTTGGAAGCTTAGATAAACCTTAAACCATCATGGTGACAGGGTTTCTGTAGACCCACCACTGTATATGGACTTCCGCTTCCAAGATCACGTTAAGCCAACTAAAAGCACAAAAATGGTTGGAGTTGTACAAGTTGTTTTGACACCAATTCGTCAGGATATTATTACCATGAATACAATGATTGATTTGCAGGCGTGGCTTGCAAATCTTCGTAAACTTCGACTCCTTATTAATTATTTCGTTAAGTTAATGATGTCAGGAGTTATGTCCACCATCATTACAGTGATTTGTTGTCTTTCACAACCTGGAATTTCACTCTGTAGGTAAGGACGTTGCTTCTGATTTGGACTGGGAGGTGTTTTGGAACTTCACTCTGTAGGTAAGGGAGAGTGAAGTTCCAAACCACCTCCCAGTCCAAATCAGAAGCAACGGTAGGTTAGGACGTTGCTTCTGATTTGGACTGGGAGGTGGTTTGGAATTTAACTCTGTAGGTTAGGACGTTGCTTCTGATTTGGACTGGGAGGTGGTTTGGAACTTCACTCTGTAGGTAAGGACGTTGCTTCTGATTTGGACTGGGAGGTGGTTTGGAACTTCACTCTGTAGGTTAGGACGTTGCTTCTGATTTGGATTGGGAGGTGGTTTGGAATCTCATTGTTGCTATGCGAGTTTTCCAGCTTCCAAATAGCAACAATCAAAACTCCCTTCTTCGTGTCTTTTGAAAAGAGACCCCAGTCATAACGTTTTCTGTGGAGGCATTGCACTGTCTAATGGTCAGGAATTCTCCGGGAACAATAAGTATAATACAGGGCTAAGCATTTCGACCGTAGCTCGACGACTCACATGTCCAACGCTTTGCCACTGTACTGGAAATTATGTAGCGCGAATATCCCTTCCTAGCGTGAGTTATGCATGTGATAAACTCACATTCTTGATCAATAGAAGGATTACTTAACTATTACGGTGTTGTGATTATCAAATATACATCTACACAGAGAATCGCGGACTTTGATTAGAGAGATTAAAAGTTTAGTTTTTATATACACCATCAATACAAGTACATTTTCATGAGCCAGTTTCGTAGCGTACGAGCTACTCTATAGCCTAAGTCATTGTTATCAAAAAGTGGTATGTAAACGTACTTTGGATATCCTCATTTGAATCAATGATTACTACTAACGCCATCTGGTGAGAAGATATATAATCAAAACCAATTATTTCGCCCCAGATATACATGTAAATCATAATATATGACCAGCATGATCAAACATATCTAGCCCGCGGTATGTCAGTAAACACCTTCAGCGTGTTTTTAGTATTGTGTTATAGATTGCACTCGACAGTTCGTAAATTCCGGGTTAAATCCCAGTTAGGTAACCATTCATATGTGGTGTCATGAGAATTGGTGACTACCCTTATAACTATTTCTGCACCATCGATCTTTATTAGCCTATATTACAATTCCCACTATTAACAAGCTTCTGTAAAGGATGGGGGGGAGGGGTCACTCTTGAACCATATATCGTGACAAACTTTCCATAGACCCTCCACTGTAAGCTTCAAAAATTTCATTTAAGTAGAGCAAATTCACAGACCTTCACCAAAGATGCATCATGGGACACGACAGGTATGCGATTGAATGGAATTGCAATAATTCCGATTTATGTTGACCATCTTTCTCCTGAAATCAAAAGCATGGGAGCCTTTAAAAGTTTCAAACCCTTGTTTGTAATCATGGGACTCCGAAAACTATGGCTACGAAAGAGAACCTTTCAACCCACCGCTGCGATGAAGCTGAACGTTTCTAATTGTATAGTAGCTTCCTGACATTGAATATTTGAATTTAGTTAATACTTGTACTTATATATATATATATATATATATATTCTCATTTGATGTTCTGTTTGTGATGAAAACAGAATTCTCTGAGCCCAAGGTTTGATTAATAGTTAATGTTTGCATCTCCTACAATATCATCTCTCATCTTTTAACGTGCAGAATTACAAGATACTTTAAACTCTTTATCTTTGTTATTGTTTAGCATCTTGTTTTTAATGTTTTTCTTTTCTATGCTCGCAGTGAATCCGTGGTATTTTTGGGAAGTAATTCAACTCAGCAATGCATGACTCACGTAATTGAAGGCGACAAACTCTTTGAATTGTCCTCGCCAGAAGACCCAGTAAAAGAAAAATTAGAGGTAGTTCATTTTAGTGACGTTAAGGATGTTATTTATTCTAAATGATCATATGGGCGGGGTTGGCCCTGTGGTACAGGTACGGGTTCGAACCACTGATCTGTGTATGTAGATAGCGCTTAGCCGGTGCAGTATTGAAGTGACGCATCAGCCATGTTGACACATCTACTTACTGTCACCGCACGGACTGATTAGATAGTGTTTCACGAGTACTTTCTATAGCTAAGAGATTGTTGTATAAACAAATAACAGAGGAGGATCTGACATTATTCCATGTAACTGAGTGTAGTTTGGATTTGTAAAACAAGCAAGAGCTCCCGTTAGATTGTATTACACGGTATATTTCAGTAAATCACAAAAAGAGTAACAACAACGATATTGGTTTATTATATTTTTTTCATAGAAAAAAATAGAACTACCCCATTCTTGTAAGAAAAATATTAATTCAGCAGCTGTTATTACTTCTGTTTGGTTTTAAATTGAAGGGATTAATCGCATTAAATTCAGAGCAACATCGTTACAAACGACAAAGAACGATCTAATTAACTGATTATGTTTAAATTTAGTATCAAAATTTCTCGCACAATATCTTTTTTATGGAAACGTGAGTAACATTTATGAACATAAATATTAATAATTAATCAGTACAGTAGTTACATAATATATCAATCACCGAGCTAATGGATTGAGCCACGACGCAAAAGTTGTGTCAGCTTTCACGAACATGTTCTAGAATAGACAAACCGTGCGTGAGAAATACATTTCTTTTACATCCAATACCAGGGCCGGATTAAGGACTTCGAGGCAAATTTTGTAGGGGGTGGTGGGGGTCTCAGAACTGAACTCCTGATTTTCTGAATCAGCCATTAATATAAATTAAATAGCTAATCTAAGTTTCACGACTTAATACTTGTAACCTCCAGGTCGTACTTACACGGAAATAATCAACAGATTTATTTATCCCTGAGTTATCTTTTATCATGAGGTTAAACAACCAACCAACAATATTTTAATATGAGGTTAAAGTCAACCAACCAACAATCTTTTAATATGAGGTTAAACACAACCAACCAATAATATTTTAATATGAGGTTAAACTCAAACAACCAACAATCTTTTAATACGAGGTTAAACTCAAACAACCAATAATATTTTAATATGAGGTTAAACACAAACAACCAATAATCTTTTAATACGAGGTTAAACACAAACAACCAATAATCTTTTAATATGAGGTTAAACTCAAACAACCAACAATCTTTTAATATGAGGTTAAACACAAACAACCAACAATCTTTTAATACGAGGTTAAACACAAACAACCAACAATCTTTTAATATGAGGTTAAACACAAACAACCAACAATCTTTTAATACGAGGTTAAACACAAACAACCAACAATCTTTTAATACGAGGTTAAACACAAACAACCAACACAGAAATTCCTCCAAAAAAACGCTACGAAATCATACTGATTTTTGTGGGGTTTTTTTTATGAATCAACTACCACTTCAAGCGATGGGTGGATAATATATATAAAATAACAGATTTAATATTTTTAATAAATGTAAAGAAATGACAAGGAATACTTTTGTCAAATGAACAAGTAAATATTTACGAAATAAGCTTTACGTAAGAGAAGATAACAAAATAATAGGCTTATTATACGAAGCGATTAAAACCGCTGTAACCATAGTGACATAGTTGCAAGCATGTTTTTTCAATGAGACATTCAGGTTTTGATTATTCTCCTAGTCGGGGGGTTCCTTTGATCCGGGGTCTTAGGTTAATTGAACCCATTTGCTACCCCCCCAAATTAATCCGGCCCTAGTCAAGGCATCTTGATTTTCCGTAGTGATGCATTGAGATTAATTTAGGAAGATAAATCGAAGTCTTTTTTTTTTTCATTTATTTCAGCTCTACGTTCTACTCTGACCGATTTAATCCTTCGTGCTCGATTTTAAGTATATTTTAAATTTCACAAACGTGAACAGCTTAAAGGAATTGGGCCTCGCATGGCTTGTTGGTGAGGGCGTTTCACTCGAAAACGTCACCAAACACGCGCACCCCTTTCACTCTTGAGAACGTTATAATGCAATAGTCAATCCCCTATCCGGTGGTAAAAGAGTAGCCCAAAAGTCGGTGGTGGGTGGTGTTGACTAGCTAGCTGCCTCCTCTCTAGTTTTTCACTTCTAAATAGGGGCGGCTAGCTCAAATAGCCCTCGTGTAGCTATTTGCGAAATTCAACAAACAACCAAACTGTTAGGATCAGGTGAACAAATATTTGGGTTTAACGACGTAAAAATAATTACATCAGAAAAGGTATTTATTGTTTAATGTGCGCTATACTTGAGGATAGAAACAATTGAAACTGACACGTCACCTTGGAGATGAGAAAAGACGTTTGTTTAATGTGCGCTATACTTGAGGATAGCAACAATTGAAACTGACACGTAACCTTGGAGATGAGAAAAGACGTTTGTTTAATATGCGCTATACTTGAGGAAAGAAACAGTTGAAACTGACACGTCACCTGGGAGATGAGAAAAGACGTTTGTTTAATGTGCACTATACTTGAGGAAAGAAACAGTTGAAACTGACACGTCACCTGGGAGATGAGAAAAGACGTTTGTTTAATG